TACTGTCGATAATTAAGTTCTGCCTTTTGCTAATTTTTGTTTCTATTTCTTTTTTAAATTGATCTCAGTCTTCTTTGACAGCTTTGCTATAGTCAAATATTTTTCTACTCTTTTTTTTGTTTCTAGAAGGGCATATTGTATTGTCTATTCTTGTTTGCCAAGTAGTACTTAATATGAGATGATCACTATTAGTAATGTACATAGCAGGTTGTAATCGTATTGCATCAAAGTCAAATATAATGTTATCTGATACCCAGATGTCGTCAATTTGGCTCTGTTTATCTCCTCGTCTTCATGTATATTGTGTATTTGTATGTAGCTCAAGTAAGCTAGAGAGTTTAATCGCTGCATAGTATTAAATAGATTTTTACACTCTTTGTTACGCTCTAAATTATCATTAAAATCCCCTAGTACGATGATTTTATGATGCTTTTTGTGTGCAGCTATGAGCCATTGGTCAACTATGTCTAGGGTTTTGGCTACTAGGATAGCTTTGTGTAAAGGTATATATAGTGCAATTATGCTTATCTTGTTGCGTAGCAAAAAGAGATCAATCTGAATAGCTATTCCTTGAATTTTTTAGATAGCGTGTATATATTTAGCAAGTGTGGGATGGAGCCCAAGAGCTACTTCTAAACTTGCTTCTCTTTCACTTGGTTGTTCTGCTATATAGTTTGAGCTATAGATTTTATAGAAGGAATTTGTTTTCGCTATCTCATTGTTATGTTTTAGCTTGGTTTCTGTAAGTGCTGCAATATGTATGTGTTCTTAGTTTAAATATTCTAAGACCTCTTGAAACTTTATGTCGCAGTTGAGTCCTTGTACATTGTGGGTTAACAAGTTTAATTGTGACAAGTTGTTTGTCTGAAAAGCCTCAGGTTTTTTCGTTCTTTTTTCAAATAAGTCTGGTTGTGTATGTGTATTACTGTGTGCCTCGTTGGAGTACTCATTGTGTAATGGTTTACTACTGGTCATCTTCTATCACATGACTATTGTTATTTGGGATCTCTTTACTAAATAAGTCCCATTTAGGAGCAGGTAAGTCCGGTAAATTAGTCAGGGAAGTATGTTTGTATGAATTGTATAGCGGTGGCTACTTGTTCGTAATTAGTTATTGAAAACATGATATTCGTTTCGATGTTATTGTCAGTGATTAGTTTTTCCATTTCTTCTAAGCTATTGGGAAGCTTGTAGTGGCTATGCTCTGCATCTTGCTCTACTATTTTTCCTCTTTCTGGGAGTTCTAACCATTGCTCTGGTAGCTCATGGAAGTAGTAGAATTTTCTGAGTCTTCTAGCTATACTAACCAAATCTTTGCTGTTTTTTATAGGGAGTGATAGCTCTATTTCTTTTATATCACGATGGTCCCAAGGTAGGTCTGGTAGATCAGTTGGGTTAACTGTCATATATTTCTTAGATACAGGGTTAGGTATACTGTATTGGTCACTTATTTCTGCCAGGAAAGTCTTTGCAACTACTCGGTTTGTTATCGGAAATAAATAGTTTGCCTCTGTTTTAATATTTGTTGGTTCCTTAGACAGCTTTCTTTTGTTTAGTATATAGTCGTTAGGGAGCCGTTCAAAGGTGTAGTATTTTCTTAGAATCTTTATATGTCTTTTGAAATCTTTAGCATCTTTTGGTATAAAAGGATATAGGTGTCTAATCCTAGGTTCAACTAGCTGAGGTACTAATGGCAAGGCGGGCAGAGGTTCTGGTAATTCAAAGTAGTTATCTGGGATTGGACCACTAAAGTAGTAATATTTATTTAGTTTCACATGAAGCTCTCTCAAATTCTTTAATGACAAGTAACTAGTTATTGGAAAAAAATTCATAATTTCCCGGTTAAGTTGACTAGGCCTCTTTGGCAGTGGTTCTCTTGGATCTACAAAGTATGCCTTAGGCAGTAACTTGAACTTATATATTTGTTACATAGCAATTACAATTGCTCTAGTATTCCTTCTATCATCTGTAGGTAGATTAAACGGTAACCTTTTGTTGATTTCTGGATCAAGTCCATCTGGGGAGTCTGGTAACTCAATTAATATTGCACTATGCTGTTCTGATATCATCTTTCGCATATCATCAAACGTTATTGTTGTTTTCAGTTGGGCGAATCGGATACAGTAGAATATATGCTTAGTAATTTCTAAATCGTCGAGCAAATGAAAATTTAAATTCTTTATTGCATCAAGTGCCAGGCTCGATTTTAACATTGCAAATATCTGATCTCTGTTCTTTTTGTTCGTAATTGTCATACTATGTATTTGTTTATACTTGTCAATAGCACTATACAGAAGCTTGTTGAACTCGTCTTGGTGAGGAGGTATGGTTTGCTTATTTCTTGTAAAAGAGTGGAAGAACGCTGTATCCATGAACTGAAATTTAAGCTTTATTGCTTCTAGTATAGGAATATTTGCTAGTCTGGTTAGGAATTTGTGACTTATAAATTCTTTATACATATCCTGAGATTCTAGCGCTTGGATTATTTTGTTATTATGCCATTCTGCTATGTTGAATTCATTTTCTATGAGATCAGCTTTGAATCTTCTAATGTGTTGCACCCAGTTAGCAGCAGTATGGTCATCTAATGGTCTGATTGCCTTTTTTTTAACTAGTTTGTCACGATATGAAGGGATAGATGTAGTAGCTCGTGATGATATTGTGTTTATAGATTTTTGATCCTCAGGTTGTTCCTCTGTTGTTATGTACAGATTAGTGTTAATTGTAGTCATTGCACTAGATTGTAATAATAGTTGCATGTGTTGTTCATCTAACATTGATGCTACATCTATCAGCCTTTGTGTGTTTGTTGCGGGTGGCTCAGTTTGTGATTGTGGGCTGGGCCCTTAGCTGGGTCCTTTTTGATTTGTACAGTTTGTAGATCTATTTTCCGCGTGCTTAGATCATCGCAATCCATGTTCTATATGGCGTGGGAATTTTCTCCCAAATTTGTATCTATGGCCATTTGTGTTTGGTGTGATGTCATTTCTTGGCAAACGATTGTAGAAGTAATTTCTCCCACTTTTTTTTTTATTTTTTTTTCCTCGAACAAGTTGTCGTCTTGAGTACTCATAGGGTTATCTCTTTGCTTTAGTTTCTTTTTTGTTGAAATTTCTTTTATAATATTGTGTCTCACAATGACAACACTATTTGTAGTTGTTGTTATATTACTGCCTTCTGTATTTGTCACTGACAAAGTTGCTTGTGTGTTATCTGCTGCTAGTGAGCTTCTGTCTCTTTTCTTGTTACTCAACTTGTATCTGGCCCTTGGTTGATGTTCCTTACACCTAGAAGTGCAGTATCCCCTAAGGGATTAGTCTTATTATAAGTCTTTCCCTTCTAACTGATGGTTTTTTGAATTATTTTTCTGCAGTTTATTTGTTTACTTAGTGTTTTGGGATCTACGGGAAAGAGTTTTTAGTTTTATTATATTTTTAATAAAACTTATTTTTTAGTTTTACTATTAAAATTTTAAAAAGTTTTTTAAAATTTTACTTGTTTCAAAAAGAAATTTTTTAGTTACTACTAAGCAAAGTTTAAATTTTGGTTAATAAATTATAAAAGTTTTAATAATAAAAGTAGTTTAATTTTAAATTGTCTACAACTTTGAGTTAAGGTAATAAAGAGGCAAATTTTATATTTTTTTTAAGTAAAACTAAAAAAAAAAAAATTTTAAAATTAAATTTTTTTTTAAAAAATTATAAATTTTTCTTTAATAAATAACTTAAATTTTTCATAAATATTAAGCAAATAAAAAGAAGTTTTAAATAGTATATAATCATAGTTTTCATTTAAAAAAAAAATTATAAAATATTTTTATTTTTAAAAAAAATAAATCAGATATGAATTTATAAAATTTAAGCAGGCAAATCTGTTTGCTTAAACTACCATATTTTTCCCAAAATAAGCTACCACCTAAAATAAGCTACCCCTCACTTTTGAGCAAAAAACCAGGAATTTTCTTTTATTCGAAAATAAGCTACTCCCCCTCCGAATTTTTTAAAAATTTTTAACAGTTGTTATATATAAAAGTCAAAATTGTACTAAGTAAATATATACTTTGACTTTAATAGAAGTTGTTTAGAATTAAAAAATATACATATTCTGAAAGTTTTATACAATTTATATAAATTTTATTAGTAACATTTTTGCATTTAAAGTTCAAACTTTATATGCAAAATGTTACTAATAAAAGGTTATTCAAATTGTATGAAACTTTCAGGATATGTGTATTTTTTAATTCTGAACAACTTTTATTAAGTTTATAACATATATTTACTTAGTACCATTTTGACATTTATATATAACAACTACTTTTACTTAATAAAAATTGACCAAAAATCGATTTGTTCTCAAAATAAGCTACTTTGGGAATTTTCGTGTAATTTTTGGCCCAAAAATAGTAGCTTATTTTGGGGAAAATATGGTAAATGGTTTAAGGAATAGTGAACTCTCATTATAGTGAAGATTCGATATCTCTTAAACCGTCTAGCAGCTAAATCTACTTGCTAGAATTTTAATTTTTGTATTTTTTTATAATTATTTAAAATTTTATTAAGAATATGTATCTCTATTTCTAAGCTAATATAAAAATTTATGATATTACCTTTAGTTACAACAATAGTTATAGTAGAATTGACCAAATATGGACAAATATGCCTATAGCTTCTTTGGACTATACAGATATTATTGAAGATGCTGCAATAGAATCAGATTACAATATTATTCTACTTGAATTTTCTATTCTATTAACACTCTCCTCTTCATATAAACAACCCCCTAGAAAAGTCCCTCTTTGGAAACAAGCATCATCTGAACAAATCCAAAAGTACCAAACACATATAGATTAAAACTTAATTAAAATTCGTTCACATATTTCACAAATTCAAAACCAAGTAGAACTAGATAAAACTTGGAAAACAATTAACAAAACCTTTACAAAAGCTTCTCTTAAACATATTCCTTACAAAAAAATTAAAATTAAAAACAATCTTAATCCTTTTTACACCAAACTAACACCTATTCAACTTCAATACAAAAACACATTAACAATTAAAAAACCAATCAAATCTCCTAAACTCCCTTAACTAATTACAAACTATTATAACAAATACACAAACAATACTCTTTTTAATCTTACTAATATACAAACTCCTATTTATATCCCAACCATAAAAAGTATTCTCAAATTTGAAATTAAACAAATTAAAATACTTCTAGAACAAGAAAAACAACAACATACTGCCTCTGAAATTAAACAAATTACAGAAATATAATACTAATTTCATTCAAAAACCCTACAAAAAAATCTTGAAAAGATTTAGCAGCAATGTGTCACTGGATAGACTTTTACTTAACAATTCTTTACTTACAAACCCTAAAGAAATCAAATATGCTACTTAACAATATTTCCAAAACTATTTTCAAGATCAACTACTTCCAGATATAACTCCTGACTCAAAATTTTATACCTTATACCAGCCACACCCTGAGCTTGAATATCTCTATAATAACATTTTTACAGAAATCACACAAAATGAATAGCAAACAACAATTAATTAATTACCTAATTAAAAAGCTTCAGGACCCTCTGGTACTAGCTATGAACATATTAAACACACCTCAATACTTAGTCAAGACATTCTTTGTTCTTTTCTCTCAAATGTCTATATCTCCAAACAGTCTCAACTGACTAGAAAACCTCAAATATCTTTTTAATACCAAAAAAAAACAAATGTGACTTTACACTAGAGCAAGTCCATCCTATTTTATTTATTGAACCTTTTAAAAAATAGCTTACCAAAATCTTCACAAAAAGATTTTACAATACTATTAATACAAACAATTTTATCAGCAATCTAAACTTTGCTGCAACTCCTAAAACCTCAACACATACACCAATACAAATCCTACACAATACTATTGAACACTATAAACTTAATAACAAAGAAGTATGGATTCTTTTTCAAGATATGTCAAAAGCCTTTGACAGAATAAATATTTCTCGATTAGGTGATGCATGTAGAAAAATAGGCATCCCACAAAATACTATAAACTTTATTACTAATTTACACACTAATCGCAACGCAAAAATTATCACAACATATGGCCTTACAGATCCTATCATACTTAATACAGGAATAGAGCAAGGAGAAACATATTCTTCACTTTTGTGAAAAATATACTATGATCTAATTTCTTTCTATATAAATACCAAACATCAAGAATCCTTCCTCGAAATTAAAAGTATATCCCTACTTAACTAAATATTTTAAACACAAATATCAGCTATTACAATTCCTCCACTTGCCTATATAGATAATACAGTTTGGCTTTGTAAAAGCAAAGTCTCACTACAAAATCTACTTGATAATGTATTAAAACTTTACAAAATTAATAATATTCAAGTTAATCCAACTAAATCAGATCTACTTTATATCAAACCCAAAACAAATTTCTAAACATCTAATAACAATGCAGTATTCAACCAACAAACTACTACAAACTTTGTCTTATTTGATAACACAACTATTTTACCAAGAAAACCTGAAGAAATTATAAGATATTTGAGTATATTTTATGATGAAACAGGTTTTAATAAACCTACTATTGAAAAAATATTTAGCAAGATAGAAAACTTTATTAAACTTATTCAATATAAAAAATTACTTTCTATACAACTCTCTTATCTATTTAATACAATTCTCTCCCCATTTTTAGAATATTTACTACAAATCACTTCACTCACTCAACAACAAACCAAAAAACTTTCAAGCATGCTTACTAAACAATTTAAAAAATCACTTAGACTATCAATTAACACTAATAATGATATATTTACCAACTCATTATCTCTTAACCTTCCTACATTTAATAAATTTCTTTATATACAAGTAGCAGTATAATTGAAAAATCAATTAATTCAGCACCTCTTCTGAAGAAAATTTTTGAATTAAGAATTAAAAAATGGCTTTACTATACTTGGAGCTATTTAATAATATATAATAGTATACATCTTCATCAGAAAAAACTCTTTAAATTTACATATATATCTCAACTATACTACTTTTTAAAAATAACATTAATATTAACAATCTTGAAATTAACAACAACACCCAACTTATTTCACAACACAATCTTAATTATATACATAACTTTCTTTCATTAGAAATTCAAAAAACATCAACTTTTAAAAGCTTTAAAAATAATCAAATTCTATTTTTTGAACAACTTCTAACAGCTAACAATCAATATTTACTTCCCTAGAATAATATATACCTTCAAACTAACAAAACCTCCTGAGAACCTATACCATCTTGGTACAAAACACTTTATTCAACTATTAACAACAAACTAATTTTAGAACAGTAGCCACAAACCCAAATTGCTACAATTAATTTCTTTTACAATACATTTAACCTACCTGCAAATCCCAATATACTATCTTAGAAAAACAATTGATCATTAATATTCTCACAAACTAAAATTACAATTGGGAAAATAATTACTTAATTTAATAATCAATTTTACTTATAAGAATACAATTTATATACAGATATCTCAGGCATTTTAATACTTACTTCTACTCCTACTATTTATACAGTATCATTTAATCAAATTGTTAACTTTACTTGCAAAAGTCTTCACTACCAAAATATTTATCAGCTATTTTTTAATATTACAGAAATCCAAGCATTATTGAAAATTTCCTTATCACTTCAAACTTCATTATCTACCTTAACACCCTCTATTCAAATTAATAACTCTAATATATCACTTATAGAAAATACAATTTTAACCCCATTATACCAAACAAACTTATAAACTTACAAAACCTTTTTCTAACTATACCTACAAATAATCTATATTTTTACTCAGATGCTTCAATACAAAATACCAGATCACCAAATATTCAAGCAGGAATTAGCTAGTTTCTAGAAAACAATACACAAATTAATTTCTACTCTGTATCAACAAATACACAAAATACCAATCGTACCCAGAAGGTTCAAATAATGATAGTCCCTTAACAAACAACCAGATGATCTTTGAACCTTGCGGAGCCATGCAAGCCGGGCATACAGTGATCACTGCAAAAGACACCACCCTATCTACTTCAGACACCATATCATCATCCCCCTCTGAGATAGCATTTATCATACCAAATACTTCTGACAACCAACTCTCTGACTTCTTTGACGAACTACTATTAGAAGATGACTACAACAGTAAAGACTATTGTACAAATCCAACATCATCATCATTATTATCTTATTCAAGATGGTGGAAAGGCACTTATCACAAAGTTGATCCAAACACATGCTTTAACAAATTCCTTTATTATCATAGATTACAACTCCTACTCTCACTACAAACTATTGGCTTATTTTTGCAATATATTCAAGAAGAATACCCTGAATTCTACACAAACGACTATATCAAAATATCTTTAAAACTAACTAGTACCGCCTATTTCTTCTCTGAAGCATACGTATATCTTCTCATAAAGGAATCTTACAAATTATACAAACTATTACCTCATTGAATATCTTCATAGCCATTACAAAGTACCACTTAAATCAAACAACTCTTCTATACAAACTTCCATTAATGACTCTCTCTTTATTAATTCATTTGTATTTTTACAAACATTGATCCCAATACCATAACAAACTTTTTGAACTAAAGCAATAATTTATTATAATACACTCTTTTACTATTTAACAACTTTAACTTTGCTTTATTAAAACTTTATAATTCTTTTATTCAAAATATAAAATTCCTTACTATTTACATAATACTATTTCTACTACTATTCTACTCTTTTAAATCTCTTCATCAGGATTTAAATTCTCTTTTCCTATTAATTAAAAACAAACTTAATAACTTTTAACTCCAACTTATCTAAAAAGAAACAAACTACTCCTTACCTAAATGTCTTTTAAGCAACTCAATCTTGTAACTTAAAACATTATTTTTTTCTTCTAAATCTTGCAAATTCTGCAATAACACCAAATTTTCTCCTCTCAATATATTAAACTCAGCTTTTCACATATTATTAGCCTGATTTAAACTTATACACACCTCTAACATTCTATCAGAAAACATTTCTAAAAAATTCTTACTTTTTAAAATATTATCTCTATCTTCTTTTAAAAAATTTAGTTCACTTTCTTTAAGCTCCAACTCTTCTCTTAAACTTTTTAACTCTGTAGTAATAGCCACCAAGAAAAACTTCATTTCTTTATCTTCTTCTTTCTCTTCGTCTTCAACAATATCTATACTTAAAACATCTTTGTTTATTTCAATTTCTTTTTCTTCTTTTCTTTTTTCTTTTTCTTTATTATCTTTTTTATCTTTTTTTCTACCTTCAACAACTGTTTATGTTTTTGATAAAAACATGTAGACCTTTGTGTTTGTGGCATCTTTTTCCTTTCGTAAGTTATGATAGTGTTACAACCCCCTGACTATCACTCTATTTATATCAATTATCTTATGATCATCAATTTTTGAACATTCTTAAACTCTAAAATTTTTCAAATTAATACCTTGTTGATGTGGAGCAGTGATTTGAGTGGTGATTGTCTGATTAACAGTCTCGAGGTTCAAATCATGTCTAGGGTGGGCTCATACAGATATATTAGGGAAAACATACTAATATACCTGAAGCCCTTAGGCCATAACAATACATTCAAGATGTTATTTTTTGTTTTTATATTATGCTATTAATTTTACTTTATTTTTTCTTTCTACTATACTTTATTTGCTTTAAACTTAAATATTTTATTTTATATTTAACAAAATGATTATCAAAATTATGAGGACAGATTCACTAAATCTAACAGACAATTAATAACAATATCAGATCCAGTGCATTGTAATGATAGGAACTGACTACAAACTTTAAAT